AGATTATTTCCTGCTTACCTGCTATCTGATGCTCTGCATGAGGCTCTGAGAGTATAGGAAAGGATAAAGTGGGTGATTTCTTGCCTTCATGGAGTGTACGGTAGAATCATAGAGCATGCCATTCAACACAAGCAAAATAATTTCAGCCTATTCCAAGTGTTAGAAAAGAATACATACAGAGAAAAGAAAATGCTGGCTGTGTAAGGGCTACTTTTGGTAGGTTTGCCAACAAAGGACTCTTGAAGGATATGTACTTAAATCAATAGTTGATGAATGAGAATCCAGCAAAGGAAGGAGAAGAAAGGCTTGTGGAGAGCTCTTCCTGATAGGGCTTGAGCTACTAGAAAAACCTGGGAGAGAAAGCCAGCCTGGCCAGAGATGGGTGAGCAGAACAGGTAGTTACTGGGCTAGGGATAAGTCTTTGCATCTGTCCACTTGGAAGGTCTCTCATCCAGTGTTGTCAGTTCACAAGATAATTCTCCTGATGTTACATCAGAAGATGCAAGAAGAACCATACACCTGCTTAATTTCCTCACACCTATCCATTTCCATGGGTCAGATCACCCACAAGTGGGGATGTCTCCAGCAGGCTAAGGAAAATACTAATGCCTTTCTATGCACTGAATTTTGCAAAACATCAGGCATCCTGCTGTGCACCTTATTACCTCCATGAGAATGAGGTAGAGGTGCCGCTCTCATTATACCACTTTTGCTAGTCTCATCAACATTACTGTGCCCATTATAATGACAGGCAACACTGAGCCTTAGAGAGAGGAAGTGAATTGCACTCAAAGCAAACGCAAAACAACCAAAACCCTACTATATGGTTTTGTGAACATTCAATTGTGGGTTGTCTGATTGCAACATTTGGTCTTTACCAAACACTAATTCTCCTAAGTCAGATTTGTCTTGTACAAGGCTAATTCAATTGAAAATTTTAGTGTTAAAATGACTATGCGATGGGGACAATACTAAGTTTTGGAGAAACAAAATGAACACAATGGCTGTGCAGAGAAAGATACATAAAGGCTATCACATGACAGGATGTGTCTGCTATGTGAAGAGCTACATGAGCTGTGGGAATTAATATTTAGAAGGAATATCAGACGTGGCTTGGTCTTCTGGAAGAAGCAATAACTTCAAAGGTGGGGAAGAACTTCCCAAATAAGAAAATGAGAAGGAGCAACGTGTACCATAAAGAGACAGCTGTGGTGGGGGTACCCAGTAAATTTAAGAACAGTAAATTAGCTTGGGCAGGGGGAGGTAAGATGCGAGGAGAAGGGTCGCCCAGAGTAGAAAAGGTTTTAGAGGTCAGTTGAAGATTTGGAGCATTTTCTCGAAGACAATGGGGAGGACCCATGTACAGTTGTTGAGGAAGAGGTGGTGGGTACATTCCACATTTACCAAAGAGCCAGCCTGTTAAACTTCACCAGTGGTTCAAAAAGTGTGGTTCTCACACCAGCAGCATCAGCGTCTCGGGGGAATTTGTTAGAATGCAAATTCTCTGGTTCCACCCTAGACTGACTGAATCGGAATCTCTGAGATTTTAACAAGCTCTCAGGGGATGCTGATGCAAGTTCAAATCTGGGAACTACAGAGATGCCCCACAATCTGCATGCTTCTGTGTACAATGTCCACAGGACCTTCACACTTGGCCTCTAAATGAGAAATGGTCTTTTTGCTCTTCTTGGGTCCCTCCTGCACACAGGGAGATGCACGGCATGTCACATTCCTTGCTTTTAACCTACAACCAATAATACCAAGACGCTGCCCAGACAGTGGGTGTCCCAGTTTGTTGGGGGAGATCTCCTCTGTCTCACATGTTTGTTTTGAAGGACACAAACCTTCTTCCTCCTCTCCTGGCCTTTCTAGGTGCACAGGGAGCCATATAAGCAACACTGCTCAGAACACACGCTGGTGCTTAAAACCTATCATTAGCTAAGAGCTGAGAGAAGGCATTTGGAGGTGGTGAGTTAATAGGAAAATAGGCCCAACTTGGTAGCCTGTGCCATGGTGCCCCCAGAGCTGGTGTTAAGTGGTGACTGGCAACTCCCCTCTAATCACTTCTTGTTAGCAGGAACTATAGGCAAATTGCTAGCGAGGATTAAGTGGGGAGACGATGCCAGGATCACTGTCAAGCAGAAAAAAGACTCAATTTGTAGAGCAATCATGACTCTGTAATCACTTCTTTAAAAGCTCTTTTCGGCTGCCTCTGCCTTTGGAAGGTGTGGACCCAGCCTAGGAAAGGGTGGGCAGAGGGTGGCAGGCTTGCTTTTTCTTGAGCATATTAAAATGTTTACTGGCCTGAGATAAGCCTGGCTATTAACAGGTCTTTGCCTCTGTGGGTCTCCGACTTCGGAGGCCCAGATGCCGTGGTGAACAAATGAACATCAGTGGGCATAAACAATGGATCTGAGTTCCTGAATAGAGCATGTTTCTGTAAACACACAAGAGAATCTAGGAGAAAGCTTTATAGGGGAAAAAGATACATTTCACTTATCTCTGTTTGCCTAATGCCCATGTAAAATAGAAACAAATTAACAAGACAGTATTTTAAGAGCTGTTACACAACAGTGTGTGCAGTGTGGGGGGGATGTGGAGGAGTGGGGGGATGGTCTCCCAATTCAAGCCAGGATTTTTAAAAAGGCTGGAAGGATCTTTTTTTCCAAGTGTTTGTAGCTTTAGCCCAGGAAGGTGAACTGCTGTTTTCAAAGCTTATTCTTAGAGTGTAACAACTTCATTCTTTTCAGACATTGATCTGGAGAAGTTTGGTAACACAATGAATGAGAGGAAACCATATCATTTCAGAAGAAAACATTCGGCAACTTTGAAACGAAAAGAAGGCACAGAAATAAGATGATATTTAAAGTTGAAACATGATTCATTCAGATATAAATGTAATTCTAGGTCCTTCAAAGAGGGGCTCTTCTCCTTTGAAACTTCTCAAATGCAAACAGGTTTTGAAGAAGTACCCTATTACAGGACCCAGTGGCAAGGGAAATGTTGGATAGGAGAAGAGAGAAAAACGGAAAGGAGGGGAAGGTTAGCTGTCCTTAAAATCCAGCTCAACTACTTATCACTCATCAAATAGTATTTTTTTCCCTTGCAGGTTTATAAAAACCCATAATGAAAAAATTCAAACCCACTTCTCCCATTAAGTCTGTATTGCAAATTTGCAAGTTCTAAATGAAGCATTAAGCAATGTTGGAATTTTAGCATACTACAGCAAAAATGATCTTAAAGACATAATTTTACATTTTTTTCTTTTAGGGTCCAAATGAGATTACTTCCCAACAGGTGTATAGTTAATTAAAAATGATCACCACTTACTGGAAAATATTTTTAAACTACTGTTATTTAAAAATAATAAAGGGAGATGTATTTGCACTATCTCTGCCTTAAATAGGGTTCTTCTTCATGCTCAAAACTCCAAATATTCTGTCATCCATTGGGGCATAATTTTTCTGTGCTGCTCTTCAGTTTTATATCATGAGGGTCATTCAGTCAAAATAACACCTGTTATCCCCAGAACCTGAAGAAAAATGAAGTGGAAAGTCAAGATGATAACCTGGTTGCTCAAAAAGTCACTTTGGTTTTGTTTGTTTTAGGACAATGCTGTAGCCCCAAACTGTCAAAGTTGAACTGCTTGTCCTTCCATTTCTTTATTATACTGGGTGAAATAAACATGTGGTCAGCATGCACTTTGTGAGTGGGTATGATGTAAATATACAGGACATACCAGTAAGTTCATATTTGAAAAGAAATATTTAAGTGTAAATCATATCAATAAAATTCATGGTTGCTCTATTTATGCATTTTAATGGCAAAAAATCCCTGCAACACACATCTCTATATCATGATACTATTCTTAAGAATCTCCAAATGGTTCGTTCTCTCTCTCTCTCTCTCTCTCTCTCTCTCTCTCTCTCTCTCCTCTCTCTCCCTCTCCCTCTCCCTCTCCCTCTCTTTCTCTTTCAGGATAACCAGAAGGAATAATGAGCTTGGGTGATTTTTCCTGATGTGTGCTCATGTTAACACAAATAAAGAGAATGATTAACATCAAATTCCTTCAGCTCTGTATCTGTATAGTGTTTCAAGGTAATCTTTAAAAAACATGGATTCTTCAAATTAAAACACAAGATTTCTTTCAGAAAAATGGACACGATGGTAAAGATGGCTTGAATAAATAATGCTTATCACGTTCCCTGCCCTTCTGCTAATTATGCTGACTTCCAAAGGAGGAGAGACTTAGGAATCCTCAGGGCAGAGGGGAAAGACACAAGGCAAGACTGGGCACCATGAACTGTGGGAAGGAAGTAGTCTGTCCCTGTGTTCCTTGTCTAACAACAGGCCACATGAGCAGGGCAGCGAATCAAAACCCAATGTCCCCCAGATCACATGTTCCACATAAACAGCACAAGCTGAAAAAGCCAGTGTCCCCAGGTTCCCACAGTTAGCAAAAACTAGTCCTTCCCAAGGATGCACAGGTATGACTGGCAAGTTGAGCATATAAATGGTGACAGAAGTTTGATACAAAGTGTCCCCAACTCACCCAGGCATCCCTGAAGCCTTCCAAATCTTCCCCTCACTCCTATCCACAAATATGCCCTTAGATGAAACTCAAGCATCCCCCAAATCTCTTAATAGGACAGCTGTGCAGTTACCTGTCATTATTTCCCTTTTCCTCTCTCTCCCTCTGTCTTTTGCAATGTGCTGTCTTTGTGAGAGATGAACATCAGTGTGAGGAGAGATGCAACTAGTTAAGTAAGAGAAACCATCTTTCTCTGTACAGCAGCTGAGTACGGGTGGGAGACAGTTCTCAGTGAAATGGAATTGCTTTACAGTCACTCCTAACAGAGAACCAACACTGCTGCTCAAATGCAGCAGGGTTCAAACTCCCTGGGATCTATTCATAGTCTCTCTGTCTCTCACTCTCTCTCTCTCTCACTCCCTCTCCTGCTTTCTGAGACAGAATCCCCAATGGGAAGTGATGCACTCACCCCAGGTGTGAAGCCAGTGGGCACAAGGCTGGGTGGCCAGTTGTCAGTGGGAGGTGGTAGTGGTTGGCTCCATAGGCAAAAGGGTGGGCCAGGGGAGGGAGGAGGAGGGATGACGTGGCTTTGTAAAAGGCAAAAAGAAAAAATGCAGAAGGACAAGCATCAGGAATATGGGAAAAGAAAGAAAATAAGGCGAAGGGGATGGAGAATTAATAATCCAACAAGCAGGTCTCTCCGTGTTATTAATCACACCGCTCGCCCAGGCTGCAGAGGAACTCGGAACCCCACATGGAAGGGGAGGGGTTTGAACACCATTGGTTGCCTCTCCTCACTCCTATACATCTCAGCCAATCCTCCCTATGCCTTAAGGTACAGATATATCTGAGCTGCAGTTACAAACCCCTGGAAGATGAAAGATTGTGCTCCGTGGGTTAGGCTCTGCTCCGTCCAGTTAATGCACTATAAACTTTATTTGAGCTGACTTCTCGTTTGATCCCCCAGTGACGGGGTCAGGGAGCGCAAGCAATTCCACCCCAAATCATGCCATAATCGAATTGCTGCCTATTTCCCGAACCTATAATGAAAAAGGCAACCGAAATAATGCAGGTAATGTTGGCGGCCTCCCTTGCCTGTCGGACATTATTACCTCCGATTGCTTGCTGCCATTTCCCAGGTCCTCTAACAATGAATATATTTCACAGCTCACTTGCTGTCCTGTGTGGGTGGCGTAGTATAGACACCTACATGATAGGAACCGAAACCTAAGACAATAAGGCTGCTCTGAGCCCGTGCCTGGCAGCCTACTGGGGGAGAGACCCTTCACCAAAGTGCTCCTCATACACATGCATACACACATACACAAGCACGTGCAGAACTCAGGCACACACAGGAATTCTCAAACGTGCACACACGCAGGCATCCACATGCACACAACAACCCATAGTCACACAGGAACACACATGGACACAGAGGGGCACATGCATGCACACACATGCATGCACACACAGGAGCATACAGAAACATGTAATGCACACACACAGGCACCCATATGCACACACAGGCATACACAGGAAAAAACCATGAACACACAGCTACATGTAGGTACCTGTATGCACACAGAAATCCCTGCATGCACACACAGGCATACACAAGAACGCGCACATACATGCATGCACACATGTAGAAACACTATGTGGTCCAGAGGCATAGGTCCAGCAAACAGTAACTCAATTTCTCTTTGTCTCCTTAAGTCTCAGCACCATCACCTAAAGCATAATAACTGGGACTGTGACTCCTTTATCACTCAGATGGTTTTTATCCTTTTTTCTCCCTCAAAATAAAATGGGACAGACATGGCTTTAGGGAATGGGTTGGAGATAAAATAACATGCCAACACATCCTACCTGAAAATGATTTTAAGTGCTCAATTCTTCTTCAAAATGTATTTTAAAAAATCAACACCCCCTATTTACATGCCCTTGAAAATATAATTCAATGTCTCTTGGTATTTTGCTTCTTAGCAAAATGCTGATGGTGGCAAGATGAAATAGAACAGAAACTCAGAGCCATAAAAGGCATGACATGGAGGTGTTTGTATGGCCACCCTTTGGGGGTGGCTATGTCCAAGCCAGTGGGAATGTGATGCTGGACTCTGAGTGTGCCTGTGGTCCCTGGAAGCTGTGACCAATTTAGCACTCCATAGGCAACCAATCCTATCTTTTGTTTCTCCAACTCATAGGTTCAGTTCACTCAAAGCAGTGACTTGGAAATTGTCAGACATCAGATTCCTGCCTTGTAAAACTTGGCTGTGCCTAGATAATGTCACTATTTCCTGAGCCATTATCACCAAGCACTCAGGCTGAGATCTACTATCAGAAATGTGTATATTTATGGATGTGTAAGTATGTATGGTCATACCTGTGAGAGTCTCCATTCAGGTGGCAAAAACATATACTACAAACACACGTGTGTAAGACTCAAACAAATAGATACTTAAAAGTTAGAAACAATCAGTGCCTAATACAAAGATCTCTCTCTCTCTCTCTCTCTCTCTCTCTCTTTTAACAAAAATCACCTTCTCTGCCTTCGCCCAACTTAAACCAGCCACAGAAACCACAGAGCTGCAAGACCACGCATCATCCAGGTGATTGGAGCCTAGGAGAGTTCATCAGGTAAAGTACCCAACATTTTCTCTTTGCAGTTCTGTCCTGCCTAAAGAAAGGGTAGCACCACTTCTTTTACACAGATACCAAGAATCAAGAGTACATGCTAACACACACACACACACATACACACACAAGAATAGTTCTTTAAAATACTCAGCACTATGGGCTATAGAGAACAGATATTATAAGAAAAAAATCAATATAAAGAAAAAATGCTCTAGATGTAATTGAAGTCATACATTTGTACATGACTTCTGCTATATGCCCAATTACTGCTATTTATCAAAGAGTAGACAACATTGAAACTAGCAGCATGAAAAACAAATTTTGCTAAGTCAGAGGGAAAAAAAATCATCAGAAAGAAAAGGGGAAAAAGATACAAATAATAAATAATTCAATATTCTCAAGAAAAGCTCTTGCGGAAAAGGCCTAGTTGATTCAAACATCAGACATGCGTCTGACAAGAGACGTATTGATTTAGACAATTCTATCATCATTATTCCAGTCGGAGTCCTTCACAAAGCTTCTCTCTTTGCTCCTGTTTTTATTGCTGTAACTACCAACCTCCTTCGTACACCTCGATCTCTTTGAACCAGTATTCACTATGGCTTAAATCGTAAGTCTAAGCATAAGATGGTCACAGATCCTGGGTCTTAGGTTTGAAGAACATGAGAGCTCAACTTTCTTAAAATCTAACAGCATGGGGGGCTATTTTCAAATCTGTTGAGGATGTGTACACTCTGTGGAATAGGTCATGTGCCCCATCTGTATAATTAACAAGGCAGAATATTTAGATTTGAGGGAGAGCTTATATCCCAAGCAAATATCACCCACACGTAACAAAGAATTGTCAAAGGCTGAACAAGAAGACTGACAACAAATGTACCCTATTTGTTACTTTAAAGACTTTGAAAAGAAAAATGACAATATAGAACTGTAAAGATTTCATACTTTTCTGTCCAAACTGTGTTCCCAAACTCTACTTGTATTTATAACCAAAATAATAAAAAAAAATGAAAAAAAAGGCAGAGAAGAAAGGAAGGAAAGAAAGAAGGAAGGTAAGGAGAGAAAGATCACTTTACATCTATGCAGATCACTAAAATACAGTGGTATAATTAGTGGCAGAGCAAACATACCCCCATTAGGCATCTGCAAAAAGCAGAACTATTTCTTCAATGTTCGATGTGTTAATTACAACCAGATAGGAGGTGCCATGGAAAATTAACAGTCTTGCAAAGGCTCGAGAGGTAAACAGACAAAGCAGGAGCTGCTGGAGGGTCGGAAGAGCAAGTCAATTTTGAAGAAAGATAAAAGAACCGTCATGTCCATGATGGAGAGGGGAAAGGGCAGTGGGCCCTGTTATCATCAGTTAATTAGGCAGGAGGTCTAAGATTGCACAAGCGGCAACATTTGCCATGGTAATCAGATGTATTATTCAAATGTGCAGGAAAACAAAAGGCAAGGAGGGGCTGACAAGGCAAGTTTCAATCTGCCCGCCCAGAGGTGTTGGGTGAATTAAGCCAAGGAGTGAGCTGGGTTCTGCTACCCTCCACACTGATAGTTCTGAGTTTTGCCTTAAATTCAGATGAGAGAATGGGAGAGGGTTTCCCAAAATTTAATAGACACTAGCCTAAGTTTGCTGCCGGGATAAGGTGAGAGTCATTGATGGAAAGATTGGGCAATGGCATAAGATACAGGGACAAAACAGCATCTAATTTTGCAGATGATAAAAACAATACTTAGTGGTTTGGGTGAGGAGGCTCTGGAAGATTCAATGATTGACTTTACAGGGAAAAAAGAGAAGGGGAGAGAGACCTGTAGTAAGAGAGGAGGTGGGGAGGAAGGGAGGGAGGTGAGGAGGGAGGGAGGAAGAGAGAGAGAATATGAGAATGAGGACATCACCTTTTTTTTTTTTGAGCTTGGAAGAGGAAGAGGGTGAAAACTCTCTAGATTGAAGATCTAATCTAATAATCCTCTGTAGGAAAGGACAGTTCATCCCACTGCTGCCCTGGGTTTCATATCCAACAGGTACTGACTACTTAGAGGCAGTGACTTCAATGGCATCCAATACAGGTGAAAGAAGGGCTGTGTTGAGCAGAGATGCAGGATGGCTAATATCAACCCTGAGGCCTCACTACATCCTAGAGGGGAATTGCTCACTTCTTTGTATGACAGAGCTTTTGGACATAATTTATCATGAGCAAGAGCCAAAATTATTAGCCCCACAAGACATCAGGATATGTTTCACCCTGTGAAAACTGGGTATAAAGCCCCCCATCTAACAAGAGATGGAATATACTGGAAGAACTGCTTTATTTCTGGCAAGGCTCCTCTTCTGTCTAACTTTTTAACTGTATGGGACATGAAGGGTCCATGGATTAGGAAATATAGCTGTGCTTCTGTATCAGTTGGTTCCACATCTGTAGAAGTATTGAAAGTACTGAATTTGTACTTGTCATATACAGACATTTTTCTTGTCATCATCCTCTAAACAGTTCAACTATAACAAACTATCTACATAGAATTAACATTGTAATTAGGGCACAGGATAGAGAGTGATAGGGAACACCTTGGCCATTAATGACAAAATGCAAGTTGAGAATCTCATGGAGAATTCCCACTCAAATACCTGGGATGAGTGAGGTGGGGGAGGGTTGCTTATTGGTGCCAGTAGTGTATCAAATTTTGAATTTCCCAGGCCAATACTTCTGCAGCAAAAGGGAAGAGGGAGATGACAGAGCCACTGAAAGGAGACAAGAGCACAGGGGACACTGCAATTTGTCTGTGGACTAATTTGCAACCACCAACATTTGCAGAGAGGTATGATCAAGGCACAAGCTTTACACATATTGTTATAAGACAGTCTTGAAATGAAAACATGGTAGAGGTAGAGAACAGATTAGTGGTTGCCTGGGGTTAGAGGGCGGGGTCCTGGTGATAGAAACATGCAGGGTGTTGTCTGTGATAGCTGTCACATGAAACATCACAGACTTAAAAGAAATGTATTGAATCCAGATTTCCCCAGCCCATCACATCTACAAAAAAAGGGAGGTAAAGGGATACTGACAGAGCACTGACATGGAATAAGAGCCCAGTAGACTCTGAGCTCTGTCTGTGGACTGGTGAAATAGGATGGTGGATAGCATCCAGGCCAGTCTCCTGGTTATAATGAGATCCTATACTTACGCAACTTGTGACCATTGGGAGAAGAAGGGTGAAGGGGTTTTCTGATCATCTTTGTTTTATACAACTATATGTAAATCTGCAATTATTTGAAACATTAGAAAACAGTTTTAAGATGACCAGGTATGGTTGTACACTTCTGTAATCCCACCTCTTTAGAAGTTGGAGGTAGGAGAGTTGTTGTCTGAGGCTGGTCCAGGCAAATGCAGAATACCTTATCTAAAAACAAACTGAAGACAAAAAAGGTGCTGGGGGCATTTCTCAAGTGATAGAACTCTTGCTTAGCAAGTGTGATACCCTGAGTTCAATCCCAGTGCTGGGAAAAAAAAAAGTCATTAAGAAGGTCAAATTTCAAATCCATTGTCCCTACCCTTCCAACCCATGAGTCCTTAAACACAAGTTACTTTGCAAGGCTCCAATTTTTCTTTTATAAAACATGGATACCAATAATGCTTCATTCAGAGAGTTATGGGAATTAGATGGCATTTTGTAGGATGTTGTTCCTGCTCTACTATTATGCACAAAGAGTGTTCAAATACAGGTAGATCAAATACAAGCATGTCTAAAAGCTAAATTGCCTTCACTCTAGTGTTTTCTCAGAGATTAAACATGTACCACTTTTATAAAGGTCCTGTGCTTTTCGATGAATGGGCGTTTTCCAAAATTCCTGACAAAGACAAGGCTTTCCTAAATGAGAAGAGTACTTTCTTGCACCTAGCCACAGCTGTATCTGTCTGTAATAGCCCCATCTTGTCCACTACTCCCTGCAGACTGGAGTTAGGATCCTGTTCACCTTTCCTTGTTCCCTCAACAATTAGCAGAGGTTGTGGGTGATGCCCAGGCACTCAATCAAATCAGCTAAGCACCACCAGGAGGAACAACAGGGAATGAAATTCTCTATTCTGATCAAATTAGTTGGACATGGATCAATAGGAAGCTTTGGTGTGTCTGTAAGCTCAGAGTCTGTAGATTCCAGGCACAGAGTTGTCTGAGAGACAGAGAAAGGGAGAGTGAGAGGAGAAATAATATCTGTTTCCTTGGCACAGAGATTTCTTTTTATTGAATCTGTCACTTCCCATTTCAGTTAACAAACTGCTGAATGGAGCTCATACTTGGGCAAATATTACAGCTCCATGGAATACAAAGTGCGAGCAATTGTTTCAGATTGGGGGTTTAATAAGAAAGAAAGGGCAAGGAGAGAAAGAAGAGGGCTGGGACTCTGCTCATTAGAAGAAAGACCAATTCTGCAGAGGAAAGAAAAGAGACAGTAGTCACGTTTCACCTGGGTTTTTTCCTAGAGCTAAACAACTACTAGCTCAATATTCATAACAAGCATCATTGGGTCCAAAGGTATCATAGGAAATGTATAGAAAGGACAGTTCTATTTTTTCTAGAAGAGGATGCTAAATTTGGAGTTAAATAATTTTGGAAAGAAGGATGTGAAAAATTTTTAATGCACCATATTCTTCTGGAAATGTAATGCATTGAGAAAGTCATTGCTGGATGGACAAGACGTTGCAGCCTTGTTCTTGTCTTTTGGGATTGAACTAGTGCTTAGTGGTTGAGGGTGATGTTTTTAAGAGATTGGGGATCTACCATATTCTTAACGATGATAGGAAACTCATACACTTCAAATCACAGAATTACAAAATACAAGAGATGACTTCAAACTCAAGTTTGTCCAAGACCTGTTTATTTCACAGTGCCA